AAAAGACCAACTACCATTCGAAGTGTATGAATATTTAGTGGTAGTTTACAGTAATAATCCTCTATTATATACTACAATATTTGAATGAATTCGTCGTTTCAAACACGAATAACGAACTATTAATGATTGTTCCCGATATGGTTGACACCTCATTGATAGCGTACTAGAGAATGTGAACCTCTCATGAACTGACTTTAGTCATATGTAATAAATCATTTGGAATGCTTCGCACCGTACATTTGAAATGCCAGTGTCAGCTATTTACTCAGTTGTGACTCAAACCATCTCCGATCATCAGACTTTCAAGAGTTCTAATAGTTATACTATTTATATCCAGATTGTTATCAATATATGATAATTCATCTTCACAATGCCGATCTCATTCAGAAGTTGTAGTAAACGATGGAGAGTAGATCAACATAATTTGTCGCTACATATTGATATCTGTTAAATGAAGCTCGGTCTGAGAGAATAAAACATTTTCTCATTGGAAAATGGTCAATTTTTATGATTTTCTGTCAGTATACAGAGGATAATCTAAAATGTGTTTCTATATTTATATATATTTCATTCAGCAGAGTTTATCATATGTAGAGATAGAGAACTGTAATTCTTAATTTCAACTCATTTGTTTCCAATACATCGTTAGTCAACAAGTTTATTTCAATTATCCATCACATGTAGAATCAGAAAAAAAAACAGTTCATATTCTGTGAAAAAAGGAAAGCAATCGTTGGTAAGAAGAGTGTTTATAGAACCACTACACTAAATCTATGCTTTCATCTTGATACAATATTCAATGGCACTCTCTTTTCTAAAAAATAAGATCTATCCTAGAAACGTTTACCGGGTGTGCCAAAATGTTTGCAACATCTTGTATTTTGCATAAATTTCGGCTTAAGTGAGGTGAGAAATCTTGCTTTGTTTTTAAAAGATGCATCATCAAAAGCTGCATGAACAAATCACTACTGACATACTACGATGATTTCTCTACATGGTTGAGAGTGAGGATACATGTAATGTTCGTATTTGTAGTGTACCGACCATTATAGATATATTTCAAATATTTTCAAAAGTTATTCTCTATTTGAAAAAAAGTTTTATAACATGATCACATCGTATTCAAAAAATCTATAACGATGAAACTTTATAATTATTATGAATGTTCATCGATGACCACCTCGCCATTATGCTGTTTAGTCGAATATACAAATCGTAATAACCGCATGCAGAGAAATTTTCGTAGTGAGTAATGATTTGTTCATGCAACTTTTGTACAGCTTTCAATAGCACATCTTTAAAAAATAATCAAGATTTTATAACTTGTCGATATTGAGATACTATATACAAAACGAAAAAAAATTTCCATACATTTTCATCATACATTATGTGTTGGGAAGTAGCACTATCATAGTGGTTTTTTATTTTGAACATTAAAAAAAACATTAATACACGTCAATAGGATTTTCATAATACCGTTTTCGTCGAGCTTTCAATGGCACATTTTTAAAAAGAATAAAGATTTTTCACCTTACCTAAGCCGAGATACATGCAAAATACACGATATTGCAAACATTTTGGCACACCCGGTAGATAAAGGCAAGACTATTGATGACAATGCTATATTGAAATTGTCTCAAGCCTGCTATCAATAAAATATGGAAACAAGAAAAATCATCACGCATATTATGTATCAAATTGCTATATAATAATGCCTGTTTTCATTATTATCCATATGTTATTAATTATTTAACAGAAGAAGATATGAAATAATGCCACATTCATTATATTCATCAAATCTTGTACCCTATAACTTTTGACTAAATGATTATATCAAGAGCAATTTGACTGGTCAAGCGAACGAAGATTTCCTAGATCAGGGAATTTCCAAGATAGTGAAAAACTGTTAGAAAGGATGAAACTTTGTGTAAATAATAATGGTATCTATTTTGAATATTTTATTTATTTTATTTTATTTCAAAGCTTGTTAGACTTTCTTTAGAACATAATCAAATGCTCCTTTAAAACCATCGGGAAGTGAATTTCATTTAGGAGAATTTCTGGAAAGACGATATGTAATATACATGCAAACGATTGTGCTTCATGCATATTATTGTTATCTAGAGAGAGTGTTACAATCAATGTTAAAATGGTACACTTAATAGAGTAGCAGCAATCAAATCAATAATAGTATTTAAGGAGCGGATCCACACTGAATATGAATAATGAAAGAATTGATGTTGAAAGATATAACAGATATGAAACATTCCGAATCAACAGAGGGAGCTTCATTATTGGACCCTGATTAAAGACATCAGACAAATCCATTTTTTTCTCGATTACATAAGATCATCAGCTTCTCAATTGTCATTTTTGTGACACGCGCCCATATGTTTTTTTTCAATAGTCTGTAGAATAAAATGCTCATGTTTCAAGAAACTTTTCATCGTTCACAGCAGAGAGATACATTTTAATATCTTATTCCATATTGAAGTATTTTAAGAATATCCTGGTTGAAATTTCAATTGTCATGATATATTTAACGTTCAAGACAGTAGCTAATAGCAAAAGAATTTGATACTCAGTGGTGCACGTTTCGAGAAAATCAAACACAATAAAAAGATTGCATTTGATCTCTGTCCAAGAAAAGTTTTTAAGCATAAAGTGTTCGATTTTGAACATGCACTCGTAAAATACGAATCTTTATTGTGTTTTGCAACAATCAGTGAAGGTCATACAACATACGAAAACAACATTCGAGAAAATTTATTTTTAAAATTCAGTGATGAATAATTGAACAATGTGCTTGCACCCGTTATAAATGAGCTGTACGTTCTTGAATAATCTTTTCTGTCCATTCCCAAAATGTATTGATATCATTATCTGTCCATTTATCCGCTACATTTGTAACAGTAGAATCATCGAAATAGCGTCCGGTTTCATTTTCTAAGCCTGGCTTTAATGCACAATACACCGTGGTAGCGGCTCCTTCTGCTATTGATTTTTTATTTGGAAGAAGAATCTTGGCAACGCTAGCCAGTGGTATGTTCGAAGTTAAATTTGTGTCAATAAGACCCGGATGAAGAGAATAAGCTGTAACTTGTTTATCTTTATATCGAGATGCAAGTGCACGTGCAAATAAAAGATTTGCTAATTTACTTTGTTGATAACTACTTATCATACCCCATCCATTTTTTGCTTTATTTCCAACGCTACTCATATGAGCCAATGCTTGATAATTTAACGGTGGACCGGCGTGAAATTTTGATGACACAATTACAATTCTTGATGGAGCATTATTTATCAGCGTCGGCATTAACAATTGTGTCAAATAGGCATGCCCAAAATGATTAACACCTATGATTTGCTCTAGTCCATCGACAGTTTGAGCAAAGTTGAAGTTAAAGACTCCAGCGTTTAATATCAATATATTCAAAGGTATATTTGCTTCTAAGAATTGTTGTGCGAATTGTTTAACACTAGCTAAACTATTCAAATCACAAATGAAACCTTGTACAGGGCCGCTAGATGATTGCTGTTGCAATTCATTGTTAATATTTCGAATGACACCTTGTAGTTTTGCTTCATCTCGTCCCATCAGATAGACTTTTGCTCCGGCACATGCCAACACTCGGCTAGTTTCCATACCAATACCCGAAGTAGCACCAGTAACAAGAATATGCATACGGTTTACTCCGCTATTTTCACCGCATTCATTGACAATGTCTTGTGCTGTCATACGAAAACGAGAATTATTTAAACCCATCACTCAATCTAGAAAGCAGAAGTGGTACTATTATAAATTGACTGTTTTGTTTCGTATTCAAAAATGATTAACAGGGTAGCGGTGTGACTGTGGGTATTGGGTGAAAGTGTGGGATGTGAGATGTGGATGTGGGTGTAGACGGTAGACTGCGACTCTTCTCTTCATTACAGCCACACCCACACCCTCTGAATAGTTTTATGAACTTCAATTTTTCCTTTGCTACGTTCATAATTATTACAATTATTTTTATAATATTTTTCCAGCAAAACCTATAAAACAATAGAAAAGAAATTTAATCTTTCAAATAATATGTGTATAGAATATACTTGTTCATTGCCTGGGTTATCACAGGAGAGCAGAATAATATCTCCACAGGGGCGTTTTTCTCGTTCCTTGCATTTTTCTTTCCAGATTGTTTTATCTATTTTTTTCTCCATGGAGTTCGTCTACTGACAAATTTTTGACACTTAATATAAAACATAGAAAATATATTTTGTGATTTGTTGAAGGAAATTAATATTGATTATATCTGTTTCTTAGACAGACCACTTACTTTGACATTGTCGCTTATGCAACCCATTTAAGAAATCTATAATTCCTATAAACACATATTGGGTACCGATGTGAGTGTGGGTATAGATGAGGATTTTTGGAAAAAGCCGAGCAAAAGACAGAAACTGCCAACCCCACACCCTGTAGGTTGCTTATATCAACCGTTAGAGCGTGAACCGTATTTTGACTCTCACACACGCCTTGGATGAACTGATACAATTTTTGTAATGCAAATGCTTCCCTAAAAAAGATTTTTGGTTTAGTTCAAAAACTCGGTACACTGTGAATCAACGGTTCATTAATTCGCTACAATTCTTTGTTTGAGTTTGATAGAAGTGCCAGAGACATAGACGAAGCTTTGTAGAGAAGATCGCAATGATGAACAGTATCTCATCGATGAAATCGATTAATGAAACGACGACATCTGTCATGTTCGACACGAACTTTCAATGCTCATGCATGCATGATAAGTTAGAAGCTTTGAATTAAATTTATTCTCATTGTGTTTAAATTGAATTTGGCCTTACAAAATATTTTAGAGAATACAATTCTAACTTACTTACACAAACACGATTGATTGATTATTCCATTCGATTTGAATATTGATGTTTGCCAAGTATTATTAGTTGATAAAAATATAGTCCTATTCTGAAACTAAACTAAACACATTAATTGCAAAAGATCATTTTTCATCAATGTTGAACAAGATTTTTTGATGCATTTCAATGTTTTCATCTAATGTATGCGTTTGTCTTCTTTTGAAAACATGAATAATAATTGAACACACAATAATAACAAATACAGAGAGAATCGTTGTAGCTAAAATAATTTTCTTTTGTTGATTTGTATTCGGTTGTTTCGACGAAACTTGAGTAATTGCCATGGTCAAGTTGATAACACTTGATATTGATGATTCTTCGATTGTATTCGAACTCCATGCAACAGTAATTGAGGAGGTTAACATCGTTGAAACTGTTGTTTTGCTTGTTTCAACATTGATACTTGTTATTGAAGCTAAAGTGAATGTTGTTGATATTGACGTACTCGAATCAATAGGTAATGATGATATCCATTCAGTGAATGATGAAGTAGTTGTACCATTTAATAATAATTCATAAAATGAGTTTATGTGTTCACATCGCTGACGTAACTCATTCATAACTGAATCATTGAGTAGACAACTTGAACGTTGTTCTGAATCAAAAGAATATTTAAACTTGAGTATGAAACAATTACATGGTTGATCAATATTGAAAACTAACGTTGTCTTATTCAATATATGATCAATTGGTTTAGTTAAACAATAGTCATTATCAACTAATCGGATACCATTTAGTATTAAACGAAGTCCTGGTGGATCATTCCAATTTATGACTGAATCTTCACTATTAACATTTGTTTTTCTGTAAAGCCAAAACTTGTCCGTCTTATTAAGTCCAGAAAGTTCTAAATCATTTAATATTTGAAGTTTTGTAATAAAAAAGCAAATTCGTGCAATTCAAAAACGATAAACTTATAAGTGTCGATGATATTGTATAGAGAAATGATGTAGTTTAATTTTTTATTTCTTGAAAATTTGTTTCACGAGATGAAAGTGAATTTCCAGCTAAATTTAAATTGCGAATAGTCGTTTCATTAAAAGCCATTCAATCAATAAATTTAATTTTATCATAACTTAAATCAACTGTTTCAAGTGTATGTGCTTGACGAAATATATTGGCAATTAATATTTTTATTTGATTACAACATGATGTGACATTTTCTAAATTTGTCATATATTTCAATGGATTTAGATCACGTAGAAAATTATTTGATACACCGAAGAAAGCCAATGTTTGATTTAATGAATATAATAATGATATTATTTTCCGGTGAAGGTATTGTAATCAAGTAATTCGATGATAGATATAAATCAACGACAGTTGTAGAAAGACTTTCGATAAGAAGAGTAACATTTGTCAACGAACAATTGGTCACAGTTATCTAAGTAAGTTCGATTATCGATGATCCATTAGAGGCAAACTGCATTTAACCAGAATTGATTATGCTCAGCTGATAGAATTTGGCACCATCCATTGACTTTAAATTAAATTGATGTAGAAGATTATGAATATGACTGTATTGGATAATATCAATAACTATTTCAAAGTAATCTACTCGAGCAAATTCATAATCAACAAGTTTTAAATTTTGCGGCGAAGTAATATAAACGAATACCGACGATGGCTCACCAAAACCAATATTGTCTAATCTACGAAACTGTCATTGGTTGCAGATTTTCCATTTTATCTTGACAATAACAAGTTAAAACTGCATTGTCTAGACAAATATTCTCTGATTTGGTCGAATTAATAATTGAAATCAATTGAATAATATAAAAGATGAATTTTAATAAGATTCCATGTCGCTTGAACCGGTAAAAAACCGTCGGTTAACCGCGATTAACCGAAAAATTTCCAGTTAACCGGCGGTAAACACGGTCAAGAGATAGTTCTTCATCACAATCCTCTCAACATCCTTCCTACACCCAACTACTCATGATGTTTATCGTTTATTTTAGGGGTGCACTAAATTCTACTTAGCTACCTTAAGATTGTACACTTTCGGTAAGAAGACTTCCGAATCCAGCCAAATATTTGTGTCAATTATAAGTTATAAACAATTTTAGTCATACTACTTCATGTTGTATTACTCTATGTACCAAATCTCGGAAGTGTTTTTCTGAGATTTAACAAATATGGTACTACAATATCAAGTAGAGCGACTAAAAATATTTCTAACTGACAACTGACACAGATTTGATCTTATTTGGTTGCTTTATTACTGGAAATCTACAATCTTTATGTAGAAGCACAGGATTTGTCGCATTCCGAAAATTGATCGTATCAGTAAATACGCAACTTAATTTATCAATTCATTCTTACGTTTGCATAAGTTTTTCAATTAAATCTAAACAAAAAAAGTTATACTTTTTTAAAATTTATTCTTACACTTGGATTATGTGTTGGATCGCATCTAAATTTTAAAAAAATAATTTTATATTTTCATTAAAAATTGTAATTCCATTTCATCTAAGTTTTGTACCATATCTAAGTGAAAGAAATATTTTTTTTTTTTTTTAATTAACACTTACATTTCAGTTCAATGATGGTACATATCTAAATGAAAAAAATTATTTTATTTTTTCATAAATTTATACTTAGACTTGGTTTAGGTATTGTATTACATCTAAAGAAAAAATAAGTTCCTGCATCTTTTTTGCGTACCGAATAGTCATGTATGTTAATTTCAAAAGCTATTCGTATATAGAAAGAAATCTAATAAATCTTCTGTATGCTAACCAAAAAGTTTTCGCTTTGGAGATACGTTTTGCATTAATTCTTTTTGAATAAAGAAAGATTTTATTTTTTATTTTTCATCAACGTTAAATCAGTAAGTCAAAAAAGTCTTATTTTAACTGTTTCGGCCTTGCACTTTTCATCAATTACACTTGGTAAAAATAACTAAACAACACCGTCGGTTAACCTCGCTTGACCACCGGCTCGGTGTTTGAAAAAAAAAAGACGACATGGAATCATTTCTATAGAAATAGATTTATAGCAATGAGAATGTCATAGGAGAAATAAATAAACAGTTTCACATCTTCACGATTACCATGCAGAAAATATTCTTATCTTTCTATGACAAATGACTCATTTTATAAAATTTTTCTGTAGTCACAATGATGAGTCGTTTATACAGGTCGATAAAGATACATAGATAATAATTCATCGGCAACAAAACAGACTAAAAGAAAAAAATCTAAACATGCCACTATAGTTGTAAAAGCAATCTACTTTGAGATTGCTGGAGAAAAAGTTGATATGAAAAAACAACATTTGGCCTTCATTCAAAAATTTCAAAACATTGCAATATTTATTCATCAGCAGCACTAAAAATTTGTTGTTCACTCTCGATAAAAGTTCCACGCAATACAACTGTTGTCGAACATAAAGTGGAATAGCTGTGGGCTAAGAGGACAGCTACACCCATCCTCAAATAGTGAAAGGATCGAAAGAGAACCCTGGAAATGTCCACGGAAAGATAAACGAGTTATCACACCATGTGTACTCAATTACTTGAAAAGCCACATTGACATTCAAACAGAGTTTGTTAGACGTGTGCTGAGGATGCAACGTTTAAATTTCTTAAATGATTTTTTTCCTTGATGATTCAATTAAGTTGGTTTTTTTTCGAATTGATGATATTCAGAAGAAAGCGTTTGTTTCTCGTTAACCTTTCAAATGCTCTTATTATACTTTTAGGCGGTCAAAGTATAATAATGACTACAATGTTTTGTCCTTGAGTTAAGTAAATGATAAACTCGTTAACATGCTGATAAACAAGAGAAAAGAAAGAACGATCATTTGATGATAAACTAAACCCAACAAGCGACTGTAAAAGAAGAAATAATCGTCTTTTTTTTAAAAATAATTTCAATCATGTTAACTTGCAATTGTTTCGGATTTCTAAAAAAATTGACTCTTTTCATTTTGATTGTGACTATTGCTATTCCTCTTTATTATGGTTCAACAAATGTTCAACATCTTCGAATTCGTTTACTACATTCTATGTTATCGATCAAACACTCTCTTTTACCAGATCAAGCTCGACCAACACTCAGTGCAGATTATCGAGCTTTTGAAGAAATAATCCTTATGACACCATTAGCAGAACTTGATCCATTAGCAGATTTAGCTACTATAATTAAAGATTTACGTGCAAGTTTTACGATGGGTACGACTATTCCTAAACCATCACAATGCCAAATCAACAAAGAAGTATTTGAACATGATGGACATACAGTAGATACCTATTGGATTAATTATAATACAAAAAATTTTCAAAGAAAATCTGAGAGAATCTTACTCTTTTTTCATGGTGGAGGATATATGCTGGGCGATATTCACGGTAAGTTATTTGCTATCTTTGGGTAAAATACGAGTTTTGTTTAATAGAAATCCTTATAATAGAAAAATGATTTAAAACAGAACACTCTTGATTATTAACGAAATTTAGATTTGATATATAGCTTTTTTATAGGTTATAGTGGATTTGAATGTCACTTGTCTCATCTTTTCAATGTAACCATACTTCATTTGGAATATCGTCTTTGCCCTGAACATCCATTACCTGCAGCTGTTGATGATGCAGTTTCACTGTATCATGCACTTCTTCGTGATCATATTTCACCTTCACAATTACTTTTTATGGGTGATTCAGCTGGTGGTGGTCTTTCTTTATTAGCAGTTCAAGCTGTAATTGCTCGTCAATTACCTGTTCCACGTGGTGTTATTGTCCTATCTCCATGGACTGATCTTTCAGCATCGGGAGAAAGTTATAAACGTAATCGTCAAATTGATATAATGTTTCGAAATACTAAAGAAGACAACGGTAGTACCGTTAAATTAATGTTGGGCTCTAATCCTGCTCAATTATCTCCTGATAACCCAATTTATAGTCCTTTATTCGGTTCCTTTGAAGGATTTCCACCAATGTATATCAATGTAGGTACAGCTGAAATATTAGAAGATGATTCAAGACGAGTTTTAAGAAAAGCACAAGAATCAAATGTATATGTGACATTTGAAGAAGGTTTACATTTAATGCATGTCTATCCAGCATTTTTTCTTTATTATCCTGAAGCACGAAAAACTCTTAATAATATTAATCAATGGATTCAAACAATCTTTGATCAAAAACTCAGTGAATAAATAAATACTTTATCTGTTGTTGAATTAGAGACTGTTAGAACGATTAAATGTGTGTCACAGTCTTTTTGTCATATTGAATATCAATCACAAAGAGAACTGGATATTCTGTACCACATAATTCATGTCATAAAAAGAAAGAGATAGATACGATTTTTCTTTCGGAATCAGCTAAGTGACTGTTTGTTTGAACAGATATTTTTGTTCATCGTTGGTATTGATAGCAACTGATTTATCGAGTCAAAGATTCATATTTCTGGAAAGGTTTCAGCGTCTACTGAGAAAAGATTATTTTCGTCAAACAAATCCGACGTTAAGTGTTTAACATAGTAGTGACATAGCTCATATGGTCTATGCTTGAACATACTATGAGTTATCGATAGTTTCTTTGGCATTTTACAGAGGTTTTTACTAAAGATGTTCGACTTAAAGAAAGCAACTTGCAAAAATTTGTTTGACGCTTTTTATGGCAATAAATTTTGTTTTTGCTCGTGCATCCCAGATTTGGGTGTGGGTGTAGTTCTCCGCTGAACCCACACTCACAGCCGCAGCCACAGTCGCCCACACCCACATTCACACACACATACATCCCACACCCATGAGCTCGGACGGTGCGTATCAGTTGGGAATGTTTCCTCGTTAGCATACATCTGGATATCAGATCCCATCCTGGTCACGGTCTGATCTCCGTAACAGTTTGAGCTTCAGACCCAATTCGTGGACTCGTTCAGCGTTCACTGAAGTTGCTCGTCTTAATTTCAGTTGGCCCGCATGATGGTCCTCACATTGGCTCGTTGCTTTAGACTGCATCTGAAGTTTGCCCGCATTCTGTATTACAGTGTAGGATTTTCATTAAAAGTCTCGGAAGCCACGCAGGTTTCAGTTTCAATAGATTCATTGGTCTCAGTTTGTGTCTCAGATGAACAGTTGATTCCAATCACCAATTCATTCTCAGTTTCAGTTGCGGTAGCATTATTAGTCTCAGCTTTGATCTCTGCTTCAGAGGAAACTCAGAGGCCCGGCCG